ATTTTTTGTCAAGATTTTTCTCTGAACATTTGCGTACAAGTTCGTATAAGGTTTTTCTAGTCGTTTCCTTTAATGTTATTGGTACTTCTGACAAGTATTACAATTAACATTTAAAAAAATAAAATTAAAAATAAAAATAATATTCTACCTGGTTCAATTGATGCCATGTTCACGATCGCTGTACATAAACTACGTTTATTCAAACTGTAAGGCGTCCGCTCATACTAGCACAACGGAATATCCACGACTGGCAATTACTATTTACTTTTATATTATTATCATTATATTTCCAGGTATTATCGTAAATAAACAACAATTATTTATCTGTATAAATAATAATAATTACGTTAGCTGCAACGACATATCCAAATTGTATAAATATAATGTCACGTGCAGCACCCCTAAGTATCTGGTCGATGTTGTGCGGTCGTACATGTCTGACCGGACACTAATCGTTGGCAAAAATTCCTACCCGGGCGTTTCTCTCCCAGTCACGTGCGGTGTGCCCCACGTCCTGGGCCCAACTCTCTGGAACATCTTCTACGATGGAATCCTGAGACTACGGGTCCTAACTTCGGTCAAGCTTCTGGCGTTCACCGACGATGTGGCCATAGTCGCGGTGGGCCATAACGCTGACATTCTGGAGGAAGCCATCAACTCCACTCTCTCGACAGTCAGTTCTTGGTTGGTCGACAACGGACTCCAACTAGCCCCGGAGAAGACTGAGTGCATTATTCTTACGAAAAAGCACTCCTACCGTCCCCCTGACATCGTTGTGGACGGATGCACGGTCCCAATCAAGCGATCAATGCGTTACCTCGGTGTTCACCTGGACACAAGAATTTCATTCGTAGACCACGCCAGGAGAGCAGCGGAAGGTGCCAAAGCGGTAGCGGCGGCGCTCGGTAGGCTGATGCCTTGCGTCGGTGGCCCATCGCAGTCGAAGCGGCAGCTATTGATGAGTGTGGTGCACAGCAGACTGCTGTACGGCGCCCAGGTCTGGGCGGAATCTATCAGACAAGTCGAGAAGCCAAACAACCTACTGCTACAGGTGCAGAGGTGTGCGGCAATCAAGGTAGCTAAGTGCTACCGTACGGTATCCGACATGGTCGCAATACTCCTGGCGCGAATGCCTCCGGCCCCCCTCTTGGCCATCGAGAGAGCGAGGAGTGTGGAGCTCAGAAAATCGGGTACCCCACATAGCAAGGCTGAGTTGAGGAGGGAAACGATTCGCCTGTGGCAGACTGCGTGGGACCAGACTCCGAAGTCGCCGTAGGCTAAACGCCTTGTACCGGACGTAGTCAGATGGTGGTACTACGGACCTAAGTCGGTAACGTTCCACATGGCCCAAGTAATATCCGGGCACGGATGCTTCCAAAAATACTTGTGGTCCAGGAACAGGGCGAGCAGTCCGGCTTGTGTGCACTGCCAGTTCCCAACGGATGATGCAGAACACACCGTTTTTGATTGCCCCTTTTGGGACGCTGCAAGAGCAGAGCTGACGTCGTCGTTGGGTAGACCACCTCGTCCGGGTGACGTTGCGGACCTACTCTGTGTGCCCGCTCACGATGATTTGCCATCCAATGCGCTGCATCGTAGGAGGATACTGGCTGTAGCTCGAAGGAATTCAGACTCATTTCATAGAATGGTCGAAGCGATCCTAGGCCAGAAGGAGGAACTGGAGAGAGCACGGCAGAGAGAAGAAGCTCACCGGTAGCAAGTTGACAACAAAAAAAAAAAAACGTAGTTAAGTTAAAGCCTGTGGGCCGAACGGCCAACCGTCTGGGTGGTTAGAGGCCCCCGCACTTTTTATTAAAAAAACCGTCGATACTGTATTTGTTGACAATGTACTTGTTGTTGATTACTATCAATAAACGATGTGACCAGGGAGGCAGCAATGGGAACCCATATTTCCCTCCCTGGGCACGATTCCAAAATGAAAAAAAAAAAAAAAGTATTATCGCAAACAAACAACAATTACTTATCTGTATAAATAATAATAATTACGTTAGCTGCAACGACATATCCAAATTGTATAAATATAATGTCACGTGCGCCGCATTATTAAAATGGTGCTTATCTAAATGGCGTGAATGAGCGGAACATTTTACTTCAAATATCTAATACTTAGTGTCTACATTATATTTTGAAACAAACATTTTTGCTTGACATCACTCGACACATTAAGATTTGTTCAAAATATTATTAATTCCTTTATAAAGAAAAATAAATGACATGTTAAATTACAATATGAAAAAATTATATGTTATTGAAACAACTAAATATCAACTCGTCTTCTACCCTAAACATAATAATTATTTGAAACCGCTATTAAATACTTATTTAATCGCATACTGAGTATTAAATAGTACACGTTAAACGAAACAACAAGAAATAAAATTAGCAATGCCTATTGAACTTTGAACGCTTTATTTAAGTTGACATTAACAACTATGATTCATAATGTTCATAAGGTCCCGTTTTACATAGTAAACTTTAAAAAATTAGCGTTGCTATGGTTTTAAGCTGTTTTTTTTTTTTTACTTATGGCCAGCTTTTATTCACAAATACTCCACTGTGTGTTGTTGGTGATGGACGGAGAAAACTCACATTACGTGTATATTTCGAATTTCTCCCGCCTGATACGTGCTCAGAAAACCGGACACGAAGGACGTGTTGTGTTCTGTAAAAGGTGCTTCACGTCATTCGACGTTAGCTGTCATAAATTTAAGTTGAGCGGACAAGAGGCTTTGGATCAACATAAATTGATTTGCGGCGAGCACAAACCTATATTACCCAAAATGTCTAAAGAGGGAGATTGTCTCAAGTTCGAGGCGTGGAAGAGGACTCAAAGACATCCCTTCGCGATATACGCAGATTTTGAGACGTTATTAATAAAGACTGATGTGGATAAAGGTAGTAATACGAAAATAATAAAAAAGCACGAACTTATGAGTTATGGATTTTTGGTTAAGGCGAGCGAGGGCGTGCCGGAGGAGTTATTGGTGGAGCATGGGATACCGTTAAAACCGGTAATATATCGAGGCAGTAAAGATTTCAAGGACGTGGCGAGACATTTTATTGAAACCGTATCTGAAATTACATTAAAGATAGAACAATTATTTAAAATAAACACACCTATAATTTTCACGGATGAACAACGGCAGTTATATGAAGCAGCAACGCGATGCAATTTATGTAAGATGAACTTTTCGCACGATAATCATAAGGTGGCAGATCACTGTCATTTATCGGGAAAATTTAGACAGTCACTATGTAATGTATGCAATCTTAAGCTCCAAACACTGAACTTTATACCTATATTTTTCCACAACCTTTTCAACTATGACGCGCACTTAATAGTAACGGAACTTGGCCATGACACCCAAGCTATTAGACAAATACCTAACAGTGAGGAAAAATTTATCTCATTCACCAAGTACGTGTCAAATACATTCAGCATGCGATTTATTGACACTTTTCGGTTTATGGCATCAGGACTGTCAACTCTAGCCATAAATCTTATGACACCGGGTTTGGAGAACTTCAGAGAGACCGCTAAAGTTTTTGATGAAGTCGATATGTCGCTAGTGACTCGGAAGGGGGTGTACCTTTATGAGTACATGGATAGTTGGGAACGGTTGGAGGAGACGAGACTGCCTAGCGAGAGGAGCTTTTATAGTACGTTGACGAAGACCGAGATAGAGGAGAGTGACTTTGACCATGCGAAGGAGGTCTGGGACCACTTCGGATGCAAGACGCTGGGCGAGTATTCAGATTTATGTTTAAAAATCGACATGCTGTTGTCGGCGGACGTTTTCGAAAACTTTCGAGACCTATGCATGAAAAATTACAATCTGGACGCCACCCATTATTTCACTGCCCCCTGCTTAAGTTTTGACGCGATGTTGAAATTCACGGGGCAAAAGCTACAGTTTCTGGACGATTATGACATGTTGTTAATGTTTGAGAATGGTCAGTATAT